TGTGTTTGCATCCTTAGATTCCAGAGCATTCTGGCTTCTGTCTTTGTCGATTCTAAATGCTGCGTGTTGGTTTTGTCTTCTATGTTCTACGAAAGGAAATTGAATTCGGTGCCCGAAAACAATTTCTGTCTTTTGCGTTCATCTTCAGACTTTTTGGAGTAACGGTTGGAAGTTTAGGAACAGCCTGAACAGCTTGCCAATTTCGAAAAGACTGAGATGTGGATCGGCCTAAGGTGGCAAGAACCCCCCAAATGCAGGGCCGATTTTCGGGGGTTGAAAACAGCTCGAAAACGTTGCCGCGGACAAGGGGCCTCCACAGTACATGGCTTGTAGATGGTATTTTTTTCATTTTTGATGTCGTCCAAATTTTGCTGCCATCTGTTGCCTGCGGCAACAGTTTTCAACGCCCCAAACAAAATTCAAAAAATTTCTCTGGCGCAACGCGCTTTTATTCACAATCGTAGAGATAGAGGTCGCAAACCCAAACGGGGATCTTTGGAGGCTACGCGCACCAGATTCGCACGAGAGCACTGCAGTTAACTTGGTCGCTTCTTGCTGTAAATTTTGAGCCAAGAGACAGCTTCCAGCGTCCTTCCTAGTAGAGCGTAAAAGCTGCCCAACATTTTATTGAGACGTCGTGGTGGACTTGATGAACTGCACAAACGCCACAATTTCACCTGTATGCACTGCACATGAACAGAACCACCTTTTATCATGTTTCGATTCTGTGCAACAACGACGCACGGCATAGTACTTGTCCTTGAACTGTTTTTAGAAACAACTTTAAGAATTGTGGATCTGGACAAATCTTCGAAAAAATCAAACACACAGTGATATCCTCCCCAAACGCCTATTTGCACGAAGCTTCTGTCAAGCTCTCTGAATCCTACATGGCGAACTCGTACAGACAGTTTTGTATTTTGCACGATCAGACACTTGACGCAACTTACAAGTCCAGAACATCCTTCGGAATTCTTTACACTCGGTGCTCGACTGTAACTGGCCATCTCTATTGCCACGAGGTCGTTCAATTCTTTTCAAGCTACACAAGATCGTGGTCACAGGAGCCTAGATCACGATGTAGATGTTTGTAGCTCCTTCAGACACATGTCATATTGTGGAATGAATTTGCGAGCGACACTCGTCTGGTCTTGCTTGCGCCACTGCGAGATGCAGTCAGTGACGAACAGCATCAGAATGGCACATTGATAAAAGCACATAGCCTCCTGTTATCCGGTTGTGCCGGTGCGAGCTTCCGATGATAATGCTTCATGGAACGGTTGACGTTTCCACAGCTTGCAGAACAGGCTCGCTATGGTATTGTGCTGGTGGATGAATCCAAGAACTTGCTGATGTGAGAGTTGTACCGGCGGCATTCGTTGCAAGTTTGTGTGAATTATATCTGTAAGCTGTCGCAAGGGCTGGTCTGCAGCTTCGCAATTTGTTCCAACCAGTGCGATCGTCAAGGCCCGCAACGAATCGTTCATTGAATGCAAGTCAGATGTTGCCGTGTTGAGCATTGCAGGCACAGGAAGCAGTACAACAGTGTCTTGCACAAAGGAGGCGCGGGTTTAACAATGTTGAGACATACATTCAATCGAGAGTCGTTGCCGTTCTGTGTTGATATTGTTTCTGTCCATTTTAAGTTGCAGGTTCCGATACCCACCTGCTGAAGTCCTGGATGGGCTACTGGGAGCAGTTGGGTTCACACCTGAGTTGGCAGGCTTCCAGATGTCTTTGGACAAACGTGCAACCATCGTCTTTTGCTTCAGACGAGGTCGTCGCAGATTGCCGAGTTCCAGGCAGCAGAGGAAACAAAGCCAGATGCTGTTCTGTCCCATTGAACCTTTCGTCCTGTAGTGTGTCCGCGCTCCACCATCCAGGAGCCAGCCGGTTTCGATCAAGCAGATGGTGTCCTGACACAGGCTGCTGGTCGGGCCTTGCACCTGGTGCATGGCTGTTGCTTGCGATGTCTGGTCGGATCCGTTCAATTTTGTCGAGGATCGCGGGTGGTTGAGGATCCCAAAAAGTTGTGTGCAGTTGTTTACTTGTTTAGGGGGTCACTGGGAGATCTGATCCTTGCTCTTCAGTCCGAGGTGCCTCGAGCCGGATCACTTCAGGGTCGAACGCGCGCTGTCCTTCACCAGGTGCGCCAGGAGCCAGGATGAGAAGTTTCTGTAGCATACCTGGGGCAGGCACCGTCTCAGCTCGTTTGATTTAGCTTTCGGACTGGCCAGGCGGCTGGGCTTAGCTGCCTCCGTCAAGTGGGTATTGGAGAGCCGTGCTGAACGATTAATGTGAACTGAACAGGTGCTATGTAGGTGAATTTGGTGGTGATGATCACGATAATGGTGATGCTGACTATGCTTCCGAACATAGTAGTCGCGGCAGTGATGACGAGGATCAGCATCAGAGTGATGAGGACGATCAGAGTAGTTGGTTGTGACCCTTGGCACGGGGACGACGAGGATGAGGAGCATCACGACGAACGACGCCGATTACGACAAGTCAAAAGGAGTTGAGCGATGGCAATGATGCGAGTGACAGTCATTTTGATGCTGTTGATGATTTTGTTGATGGTGGTGAAGAATATGAAGACGAGGATGAACAAGAGACGATGACGATGACGATGATGATAATGATGAAGACGATGAAGCGAACGTGGTGACGGTGGCTCTAGATTCGTTGCATCTGTCAGGATGCCCCGGATGCTGCCAAACATCATTTTGCTGCTTCTCAAGGTTGTATAAGGAGCTTCATTGCGGTGATAGGGATTAGGATATCCTGCTGCTGCTGCTGCCGTCGCTGCTGCTGCTGCTGCTGCTGCTGACGCAGTTCATGACGATGATGATGAAATAATGATCAAGATCATGATGACGATGACGGTGGTGGTGGTGGTGAAGCTGATGACGCTGACGCTGATGATGATGATGATGATGATGATGATGATGATATCGGGCGACATTGCCAGCTATGGCGTGAATTTGTACATGATTATATGGATAATGCTGGTGATGACGGTGCTGCCGCTTGTCGTCATTGCCAGGACCTTCAAACAGGTGGTTGTAGTTGCTGGTGACATGATTCATGATGTTTGGAGTTCAGCCAGGAGACCTGTGCATCTGTCAGTGCTCAAGACTTCCTTTGTGGTTGGGACCGGGGCCGGGAAGGGATGTCAGGGCCGGAGCTGAGCGCCCGGTCGACTGGGACTGGGGCGGTTTCCCCTCAGATCCAGGCCTCGGGAAGCTCATCGCTGACCTTAAATGCCACGGAGGCCAAGCGTAGAACGACCGGGGACAAGAAGCACCTGAAGCGAGCTCTGTCCACCATCGAGAAGGATTCCCTTCGCTACAAGAGCAACCTCTTGAAACCCTGGCTAGACGAGAATGGCCAGGTGATCTGGCCACAGTCCCGGATCAGAGTTGCCAAGGTCGTTCTCTCGCAAAGCTTTGAGACCGTCATGGGCTTGATCATCACCGCCAATGTCGTGATCATGATTTTTGAGACTGACGCTGATGCTACATGTCACCGGGCCCCCAGTTCCACGCTTCCTGATCCCAGCTATAACATGTCCACCTGCACATCCCAGAGCTCCTCGATATTGTGGCTGAGCATCGTGAACTATCTGCTGCTGACCATTTATACGGTCGAGTGTGCTCTGCGTGCTTTTGTGGAACGGGGAGCCTATCCCTGGAATAGGTGGAATCAGATCGATCTTCTCACAGTTGTTTCAGGATGGGGCTCGGCGCTCTTGGCTTCCACTCTTCCGATCAATGTTCTGCGGATCCTAAGACTAATCCGCCTGGTGCGAGCTGCTCGTGTCGTGATATCAGTGCCAGAATTCTACATATTGGTTTCGGGCTTCACCTCATCCTTCAAGGCCATCTTGTTCGGATCTGTCATGCTGGTGTGTATTATCGTGGTGTGGTCGATCATCGTGGTCGAGGTTATACACCCAGTGAATGTCGTCCTCGATTATCCTGCATCCTGTGACAACTGCCACGCGAAATTCAAGAGCGTTTGGTCAGCCATGCTCACGATTTTCCAACAAGTAGTGGCCGGAGATTCCTGGGGAGAGACTTCTCTCCCCTTGGTGGAAGCAGAACCTTTGACTATTCTCATCCTATTTCCCATCATGATGACCATCTCCTTGGGTGCCATGAACCCTGCCTCCGATTAGAATTGAGTCCTGGGTGGTGGCTGTTTGCCTAGGCCTAGACCTGTCGGGTTTCCTGTCGGGTTTTTGGTAGACGGTGTTTGGCGACGGGTGTCAGCTAAGGAATCTCATCCTTGCAGTCATCGCCGCTTGTCTGCTTATCAGGGGAGACACCCGTTTGCTTCTGTCTCCTGCAGTTTGCAAGATCTCCAGCAGCTGGTGCAGCCGCCAATTTGCGATGACAATCACAGCGATCGCGATCTCGTTTGGGAGTTGTCGTGCATGTTCTTGGTATTGATCATGTTCGTGGACACTGTTCATAAGTCGGTTTCCGGGAAAGCTCTGAGGCCGCCTTCTTTTGCTTTGATCTTTGGTCGTTCGATTGTTTGATGGTTCCAGGGTCAGGACCATGCGAAGGCAGGAATGAACAGCTGATTGAGCTCCAGTGGGTGAGAGTTTTTGGTGTCAATCACCCAAGCCTGAGGTCGAGCGTGCGACAGAGGCACGTGAGAACGACCAGGTGGATGACTAAGGGCGAGTGACACAGAGCAAGCTTGAACATGCATGTGCGACAATCTCAGCGCTTTTCGAAGAGTTAAACGTAATGCATGCAGTTTATCTGTTGTGTATTTCTACTCCACGCATGGATAGCCAATGATTCTATGTTGCCCTTCTGATGGGCATGTAGCTCCATTATTTGTAGCTGTCAGAATTTTAGTCTGATGCTTGTCACTTGTGACGTCATTTTGCGGTATCTTCATTGTACCCAAACTCTGATGCAATGCTTTACACGGTGATGGAGTGTGTTGACAGTGGACAGAACAAAGCGCGCAAAATAGATGATGCACTGTTCGGGGGTGTATTGCGTGTTTCATAATGGTGTTCTTCTGGTTGTGTGCTTATGAGGCTCTATGAAGTGAACTATTCTATGAACCTCTCGTGCCCTTTTCAATATTGTGGATATGTTCTCCAGTCAGGTATGTCCGTGTTCACACATCATACACTGCCCGGAGTAGTGTGTGCATACATGTCTGTGCTTACATTGATGCAGAAGTTTAAGTACCCTATGCCAGTGTATGACCACACTATTTCATGTAGATATCTTGAACTGCCCCATATACATTTCTACATAGTAACAGTGCCATGTGCGTGTATATAACTGTATACTACTGTATACATGTACTTAGATACATCTGCATATATATATATATATCATATATACACAATGTACATGTACATGTATACATGTGTACAAGCTACAGTATAGGTACATACATACCTATGGACGTGCAAACATATATGATACATCAGTTCATAAAGACGTACATGCACACTTATATGTGTATGTATATATATATATGCATGCATGCATGTATGTGTTCGACATGTCAAAAGCACCTATATATATATATATATGTATGTATACATTATATATGTATGTATGTATGCATGTATGTACATACATACATACATACATACATACATACATACATACATACATACATAAACACATACACACATTACATTACATTACATACATACATACATACATACATACATACATACATACGTACATACGTACATACATACATACATACATACATACATACATACACACATATTTATGTGTACATCGATATATAAATGTTTACATGTGTGTGTATGCATATGTATGATCATTCATGGAACATGACTTGCACTCTTTCCAATGCACCTTTGCGAACTCATTGCATGCACAACCCTTTTAGTGCTCGAGCGCATTCAAATTTTGGGATCCGGGGGAAACTGCCATGGATATCGAATCCTTGAGTACCTCCGATCTGCTAGCGCTTGCATTTCAGGTTCTGCAGGAGCTGGCAAATCGTTTGGGCCGAGCAGAGTCCGCCCCTCCGGAGCCGGCTCCAGCTGCTTCCACGGCTGAACCGGTGCTTCAGGTCCCAGACCATTGTGGCTATCGCTGCACATTTTGTGATAGGCCTTGCTCAAGATCTGACGTGGGACACCGACATCACAAATGCAGGCAGCACCGTCGGTGGTGAACAGTGCGCCGGGCTCAGACGATGAACTCGGCGGCCTGGGTGCTATCAGCTCTGCTGGAAGCGACGGTCATGGGTTCCCGCCGCCGCCGCCGATTTCGCCGGTGGTCAGGCCTCAGCCAGTGCCCACCTTCTTGAAGAGTGGATCCGTGAGCTTGTCGAGCCGCCCTTCGGCTGCCGACTTTCTTTCGAATCATCTGCTGGGACAACCTCTCACTGCTCGGCCTCTCCTTCCTTGCACCACGGCCGCCTCTTGAACGGCGATGCTCTCAGTCTTCCGTATGGCCAACCAGTTTTCTTCAGTGCGCGCTCTCTTTTGCATTGTGTTCTGCCCTGGAAGGGCCGAAGAACCGTCTTGATTTGCTTCTCAGTTCGCGACTCGGCCCGCCTTTCAGCTGCCGATTACCAAACTGCCATTCTTCATGGACTACCACTGCCAGCGACAGCCACCCATCTTCCTTCGCAAACCGCGGAGGTCTCCTCCGCTCAAGCCAAGCCTGTGCCCAGAAGTGTGGAATCCCTTCCACTCACGCCGCCGGGTTTAGGTAGGCCCTCTGGTTTCCCTAGTGGTTCTGCCTTCCCGAACCCTAGTGGCCCTTGGCTTTGGGAGGTCTTTGCTGGTTCAGGTAGGCTGTCGCTTACCGCTGCCCAAGCCGGCTTTCAGGTGCTTCCGGTGGACTATCAGCACTGCCGGCATCAGCCATGCTTGCCTCTGCTGCTTCTTGACTTGAGCCAAGCCTCGGCCCAGGACCACCTTCTCAGCCTGTGGGATGCTCAGCCGCCATCTTTTGTGCATATAGGCCTGCCTTGCGGGACGAGTTCCCGGGCGCGCGAACGCCCTGTCGCTGCCTCCCCTAACGGTCCTCAGCCTCGCCCGCTCAGAAGCCAGTCCCACCCTTTAGGTCTTCCAGGTTTGCAAGGGCGCGATCTCCTTCGGGTCCAAAAGGCCAACTCC